TCAAAAGAAAACAACATGGAATAGAGAGAATATCTTCTTGATTGTGAGTCTTAATCATCATCAGCAGATGGTTTCGAGGAAGCACCAGTCTTCTTAGGAAGAAGATGACTGTGAATGTTTGGCATCACTCCTCCGTTAGCAATCGTCACATCTCCAAGTAATTTGCTCAATTCTTCATCGTTCCTCACTGCAAGTTGAATATGCCTCGGAACAATCCTCGTCTTCTTGTTATCTCTTGCTGCATTACCAGCCAATTCCAAAACCTAAGGAAGAAGATTCACAATTCAAAAATTAGGGTTTCCAAAATCACAACTCAAATGAACAAGATCCACAATTCAAAAATTAGGGTTTACAAAGAAACAAGGTCCACATTTTTTAAACAGTAACAGTCTTAATTAGAGACGATTTACCCAGAAACAGTCAAAATTAGGGTTTTCAAAATTCAACCACAATATCGAATTTCAAGGAACAAGATCGAAAATTTTCAAAGAAAAAGTCAAAATTAGGGCTTACAAGAAACAAGATCGAAAAATTTCCCAGAAACGGACTAAATTAGGGTTTTCAGAATTCAACTACAATATCGAATTTCAAGGAAGAAGATCGAAATTTTTTCCCAGAAACAGTAAAAAATTAGGGTTTACAAGGAAGCAGATCGACAATTTTTCCCAGAAACAGACTAAATTAGGGTTTATAAGATTCGACTACGAGAACGGAATTGGGGGAGGAAGGTAAGGTAGACGGAATTTTACCTCGGCGGCGAGGTATTCGAGAACGGCAGCTAAGTAGACGGGAGCTCCGGCACCAACACGTTCGGCGTATTTGCCTTTCTTCAAGAACCGAGCGATACGACCCACCGGAAATTGAAGACCGGCTTTGCTACTCCTTGTCGTAGCTTTCTTCACAGCACCAGATCCGAGAGTTTTGCCACGACCCGCCATTGAAATTTTGAAGATTTTTCTCTTGTGAAGAAGATAAGAAGGAGAATGAATTTGTTGATTTTTGTTTCTGTTGAATATTTCGATATGCTTATGGAGTTTATATACTGTTCTAGATTCGGTGTGAAGAACTAGTGAGCCAATAAGAAGAAAGTACGCGGATCGATGTTTATCACCGTTGGATTTAGTTGTAATGGACGGTGGAGATTTTAGTTTATTAAGGATGTGCGTAGGTGTGGAAATACCGGAAGTACCTTCAGTTTGATTTTCTTTTTCGGCCCAAACTTTTACAATTGACCTAAAGAGGCCAATAAGCCAACGTAGATTGGGACTGGACGTAAAACGGGTAAAGGTTGTGAATGGCTAATTCGAATAATAGAAAAAATATTATCATAAACTCTATAAAAAATTAAAATTAAAATTTTCAGTCTTGCCTCTTGTTTTAAATCTCATTCTCAGTCTTGTTCTCTCGCCTCTTGTTTTCAATTAAAATCTTATTCTCTCGCCTCTTGTTTTAAATCTCATTTTCAGTCTTGTTTCTTTTGTTTAAGTAATTTTAATTTTATGTTTATATTATCCAGTGTTCTAAAATATAGCGCCTGGACGTAGATTTACTGTATAGCGCCTGGACGCCGTATGAGAGAAAGAGGATGAATGAAAGAGATGGAAAATATGAAAATCAGAACCTAGTTTACAAATGAAACAAAATCTCCTTTATATAGGAGTTTACAAAGGGTTTAATCATACATAAAAATAAAAATACACAAGTAGAATTGTTTGGATAACACCACCTCCACCAAGTAGACATTGGTCTTCATGGATGGGAACAAACAACTCGAAAATGATAGTAATGAATCAAATTGAAAACCATGCATGGTCCATTATACTAGTTCTACAATAATGCCTAACGGGCATACACAAACTATGCATAAGGTTGTGCAGTGCCGTTTTGCTTTTTCAGCTAAGTTCTCTGTGCCGTTTTACTCTCTACAAAACGGCACACATGTTAAAGTTTACGATTCTAAAAATAAAAAAGCGTCTATGCTTGAAAGAAGGTAACTTTTTTACCGATTGATTCTGGGTTTGTGGAAAATTAGCAGAGAAAAAGCATGGTTGAGAATGAGATTCGAACAATCAGTGAGTTTCCAGATGATTTACTCTTAAAGATCCTGTCTTTACTTCCTACTAAAGATGTCGTAGCTACAAGCATCTTGTCGAAACGATGGCGATCTCTTTGGAACAAGGTTGATACATTCAGGTTTGATGGTAATTGCGCAGAGGGACTTTATTTGAAGTTTATGTTGTTTGTTTGTAGAAGATCAAGTGTAGATAGTTTGAAGCTCAAGCTTAGTCCACCTTCTTTGGTGAAAGACCAAAAAAATTTGGTTAATCTTGCAATGAGTCGATCTTTGAGAGAGCTGAGAATCGAGATGCTTTATATGTCCTTTGAGTTGCCTGAATCCTTGTATAGTATCACTTCTTCTTCACATCTTGAAACGCTTATACTTGAGAAACTACGTCTGGTTGATGTTCCGAGTAATGCGAGTTTGATCCGTCTCAAAAGTCTCCACCTTTTATCGGTTAAGTTCTCGTGCGACGAATCTGTGAGAATGCTTTTAAGTATATGTCCAAGTCTTGAAGATTTGGTGGTGAGAAGAAGCTCGTATACCAATGTGAGGATGTTTAGCATCGATGTGCCTACGCTGAGGAGTTTATCTATCGATAATACGTCTGGGAAATCTCGGCCTGTAGGTGTTCATGGGTTTGTGATTAATGCACCTTCTTTGAAGCGATTTAGCATTAGAGACAGATTTAGTAACTATTTACGGTTTGAAAATATGCCCGAGCTGGTTAATGCGAGTGTCAATGTTGTTTGTGACCAACCTGACAAGCTGATTCTAGGATCTCTTGCCTCAACCCAAAATCTTTCTATTTGTTCTGTCACTTCACAGGTATATACAAACTATTTTGTTTGGCAAAGATCTAACCTTATCATTGTAATCCTTAACTCTCTATGTTTTGCTTCGATTGCAGACTCCATATCTTCCTACTGGCACTTCCTTCCTTTTTCTCGACCGTCTAGAGCTATGTTCATGTTCTGCAGACTGGTGGAATCTACTAACCCTGATACTCAACGATGCTCCGAGACTTCGAGTTCTCAAGCTGAAATTGGTATGTGGTTCCTCCTTTGAATCCATTTAATACTTTCCTGTATTGTGTGTTTCCACTTTCTTGTGGGTCTAGCATCTAACACAATGTCTATTATTATCTCTATCATGTAGTTTCAGAAACATTGTGTCCAGAACAACCCGATGGTTCCGTGGAACCAACCGAGTTCTGTTCCTGAATGCTTATCATCCCATCTTGAAATCTTCGAGTGGAGACAATACAACAGCACAGAGCAAGAGAAAGAAACTGCTAATTACATCCTAGCAAACGCGAGTCGTCTTAAGAAGGCGACATTCTACTCCTTCAACATGGGATGTTGAAGGAGCTAGAATGTGTGGCCAGAGGTTCAAAGACATACCAGATGTGTTTGTGTAAACACTTCGAGTCTTGTAACATACTTCCTTCCTTGTAATGTAACTTGTTTGTTTTTAATTTCTCAACTGTAATTGTGAGACTATTTGTAATGTAACTTGCTTGTTTTGACATTGAGAACACTTTGGTTTTATTGTTACATATTTGGTGTTTACTTCTCAATGCCTTGTTGCAGATACTGTATCAAATCGTACCCATACGTGGTCCATTTGTTGTAGGCATCAGTACATATACGGATCATGAAGTATGCGGCTTCACGCTCACTCATCTCGAGATGAAATCTTTTGCGAAGTTTCTCAATTGGATTTCCTCTGCTAAAACAAGGCAATCCACTTTCCTCCATCATTTCCACTGTACGGATGATCCCATCCATGTACCGGCGAGCAGCCAAGTAACCCCGAACGCATAAGCTTTTACGAGAGAGTATAGAACCGTCTCAGAACCTCATATGGTTTCTACTGAAAATGTTTAAATGAGAAGAAATTTTATGAATACTAACCTAACAAACTGATGCCAAGTTTCGCTCTTCATATCTCCTGACGGATCAAGCAACTGTGTCATTTCGTGGCTGAGTTTGAAATGTGCGCTCTCAAAACGCATGTTTCCACCAGGAGAAGTTTCAAAAATGAAACCGAAATCAATGTGAACAAGCCTTCCCGTGCTGCATACGCAAACTATGTAAATGATTAATTCAGAAACTAATAACAAGAGGGTTTCAAAGTTGGTGCAGATTTTACTTGTCGAAGAGGAGATTCCCGTTGTGCCTGTCTTTCGGTTGGAGTAAAAGACTCGCCACAGCATAACCAGCACTGCTGGTGAGAAAATTAGCTCGTACCGTTTCAAAGGAGGGTGAGCCAACGGGTCCAAACTCCTGTTGAAAGATCTCGTACAAGCCACCATCAGTTGATTCACCCATTTGACTTCTGCTTCGTGTATTTGGCACAACCTGTTGTAATAAGAGCAAAAGCAAAACAAATAAAACCACACAACTCGTTAAAATAGGTCTTTTCAAGTACAGACAAAGCATTCAAGATCAATACTTTCAGCGGTAATCGAAGAACAAGAACATACCTCAATTATTCCCCGACCGGCCCCAGTTGGTAGTACTCCATATGGGAAAACATAAAGATTGAGACCAGCAGCTTGAAATATGTCTTTAAGTAGAGATATCACTTGAAGAGCAAGAACATCTTGACGACAATCATCTCCTACCTAATGAATACACCAGTGAATCATATAGAATATAAACAGTACACAAACTGTTTGTAACAGATGCAGACCACTGGCTACTGGCTAATACTATGGAAACAACATCGTAGAAGAATATATTTAATGTCAACTGCAAAGATATATGTATATGCAAATTATGCCAAAAGCTTACCTTGAAAATACAAGCTTGAGGTTTCACATCATCGTGATCACCATCACGATCAACCACATTAAAAGTTATCATTATAGGGACTTTAGCAGCTGATTGTAAGGGTATTCCACTGTCTACCTGAATACCCCTGACAAGCTTATTAGGAGCAGTTGGCAAATAAAGCTCTTCTCCGTGCACTTTGATTTTCTCCAACTCCCTACCTCGGAAAAATATTATAAGATTGTCTTTTTTAAAAACATGCAGACTCATTTGTATCACAATCTCTGGTTAGAAATAGTTTAGAATGCTACCTTCTGATACCGGCTCTGCATTGTTCTTTTGGAAGAGGAAATAATACCCCAGAAATAGATGTAACCTTGTCAAAGAAGTAAAACTCTCTCCTGAACAGGTCCAAGGCCACGGGAGTGAAACCATCGATTATATGCTGTCGAACCTCAGGCAAAATTGCCCGGAAAGTTGTATTCTGTAATTAAAAAAACAATAGACTATACATAAAAGCTGATACCAATGATATATAAGCATAAAAGAAGAAGATAATCATTGGCAGACCTTATCGAAAACACCATCCTTCGCTGTTTCCTGAACAGACTCACCCTGGCATTATAGAAACAGAGATTACAAGATTAAAAAAACACCTGCAAATTCGTTCTAAACTCCACAAAGTTGAACTCACCTCTAAATGCCAAATGAGGATATGAGCAAATATGTCACTTCTTTGTGCAGCTCTTAGAAGATACCCTTCAACCAGCCTCTGCGAGCAAAAAGGTTCAAAAAGGAACCAAACTTATAAACATTATATACATAGCACATCACAAAACATCTAACCCCGCCATAATAGTGATTTTCACTTAACGACTTACCTGTTCATCATAGCGCAGAGACTGGACTAATTGTGGCATGAAGAAAGTGACTCGCTCAGGAGGGTAGGACTCAAAAACTCTTAGGACATATGCCATGACACGTGGATGCCCCTTATAAGCAGGTGTGAGGAACCCAAGAGCCTGAGTGATTGAACAAGCATCCCAGTGTGGCAGTTGCTGCAACAGCACTGAGTTCTCCTCGACAGTTTTAGGCGTGACAAAATATGGCAACGCCTCAGGAATTGTACGAAGCTCTACTATATGAGTCTACAAAACAATAGTACTGGTGAGAAATTTAATTGAGCTTCACTCAAACAAAACAAAAAGATTAGTCATTATATTACTGAGTTCCCATCATGCCTCACTGGTTTTGTGGATATCTTCCTGTTACTAACAAACTTGAGTATAGTTTACCTCTAACCAC